TGTCCCACTATCATGTTCAGCCTTCATTTGGGTTTCAGTAATTCCTCTCGGTGACATTGTCCTTGATCAAGCCCTACCAGGCTTCCTACACCCTGCTCACCATCAATTTTAGATCATTTGTTGTTCCCTTGTCCCTGGTTTTGTTAACACCCAGTTCTTTTCCCCTGCCGCCCCCTGTCCCATGTCTTCCCAGAACCATCGGATCCATTGTTGTTTTCTCCTCTGGATTGTTTCTCCTGCCTATCTTATTTAGATAGACATGCAGAGATAATAATGTGCACAAAAACAAGACAGGGAAAAACAAAGCAACAAAAGAAAAGAAAAGAAAACAACAACAACAAAAACCAATGACAAATAAAGAAAAGCCTATAAATAGTTCAAGGTCTGTTTGTTGACCTTTAGGAGTGTTTTCCAGTTGAGTCTGATGGGATGCCATACCCTGGTCCCAAAGTCTATTTTTGGTATTCCCTAGGGACTTTGTTGCTCTGTTCTCCTTGCTGTTCTGTTGAATGCCCTTAGTGTTTCACCTCAGTGTAGTGGAGTCAGTTGGGATGCAATTCCTGCACTGGGTCTCCAGCATTGTCCCCTGTAGCATGATGCGTCAGTGAGGTACATCATGTCTCTTGGTGGAGCCGCCCTATGGTCTTCTCTGTGCATTGGCTGCTCTGGGCAGGAATATCGTCCTCGGGGCTTTGTGGGCCAGGATGTGTTCTACTCTCTCTCCTCCTTCTTCATTTGCCCCTGTGATCTGAGCCCCTGCTCAGATCAGACATACCCCTCTCCGAGCTGTAGCTTCAGTGCTGGGCATGACAGATGTTGTTGATGTCAGATGGATCTTGGCTTAAAGTAGAAAAAAAACCAGAAAGATGTTTACCTGTGTTTTATTGACTCTGCAAAGACATTTGACTATATGAATCATGACAAACTATGGATAACATTGAGAAGAATGGGAATTCCAGATCAGTCGATGTGCTTTTATGGGACCTATACATGAACCAAGACATAGTCACTCAAGTAGACCAAGGGAATATTGCATGATTCAAAATGAGGAAAGGTGTACAGCCAAATTATATCTTTTCACCATATTTATTCAATCTGTATGCTGAGCAAATCTCAGAATCAGGAATATAGGAAATTGAAGATGTTTTTAAGATTGGAAGAAGGCTTAGTATGAACACATGACATGCAGATGACACAGCTTTGTTTGCTGAAATTGAGGACAAGATACTCTTACTGATGACAATCAAAGACTATATTCTTCAGTATGAATTGCATCTCAATGTAGAGAAAAGCAAAGTCCTCACTGCTGGACACCATCATGGTAAACAGAGAAAGACTGAAGTTGTCAGGGATCTCATTTTGCTTAGATACACAATCAACACTCATAGAGGCAGTAATCAGGCAATCAAATGATATATTGCATTGGGCACATCTGCTGCGCAGGGGCTCTTTAAAGAGTTAAAGAGCAACAATGTCACCTTGAGTAAGGTGGGCCTGACTCAAGCCATGTCATTTCCAGTTGTCTCATATGAGGTGAATACAGAAGATCACAAAAGAATCGATGCATTTGAATTATGGTTCTGGTGAAGAATATTGAAAGCACCATGGACTTCCAGAAGAACCAACCCATCTGTCTTGAAAGAAGTGCAGTCATAATGCTCCGTAGAAACAAGGATGGTAGACTATTTAACATACTTTGGACACGTTATTAGGAGAGACTGGTCCCTGGAAAATGACTTGGTAAAGTAGATGGTCAGCAAAACAGAGAAAGACCCTCAACAAGATGGAATGACAGCATGCTGCCACAATGGGCTCAAACATAACACTTCTGGAGACGATGCAGGATCATTTCCTTTCATTGTTCCAAGAGTTGTTATGAGTTGGAATGAACTGACTGGAGAAGAATTGAGGTGCTTGAATTGTGGTACTGTTGGGCATGTTGGCAAGAGACAAAAGTCCCTGAAGAAGGACATCATGCTTGGTAAAGTGGAGGGACAGCGAAAGAGAGGAAGACCTTCAACAAGTGGATGGACACAGTGGCTACAACCAAGGGTTGGAGCATAGGAACCATTGTGAGGATGGCATAGGACCAGGCAGTGTTTTGCTCAGTTGTGCATAAGGGCACGGGGAACTGACTTGATGGCAACTAACCACACAACATCACCAGTCCTTCACACAGTGTCTAACACACAAGACTACTTAAAACGATATAGGAGCTATAGTTTTCAGTTTTATAATCATCTGTGTAAACACATTTAAACAGTGATTGGGAAAGGTCTTCTGATTTGGCCCTCGGGACTGGGAGAGGACTTTAGTCCTAGGTTCTCTAGATGTATGACTGTAGGAATACTCCATTTGGGTTTTTAAAGCCTGGTAACTGCACAATAAAATTTGTCACATTTTCCATTTCTCTAAGTAGACATCCTGTCTTAGTATTCTGGAATCACTTGAATAATAAATGGAAGAAATGCTTTCTGAACCTGGACGCTGTCCTAATTA